TTGTATCATTGAGGAACTTGTAATAAATGCAACTTTCTGGTATCTTCCCATCTTCAATGAGCTTGTTGAGTTTCATAGCCAGTGGATGAGCGTCATTTAGAGAGCTGGTAGATAGGGAAAGAAAAAAAAGTGTAACAAATTGTAGGAAAGCTTGAGACTGAAAACATAGGGATGGAGCGCAAGCAGAAACACTTACATAGGGCATGATATAAACTTGGAATCTTCACTCTCAGTTTCACTCCCAGCGGAACTTGCATCTGTATCATCTGAAACTACGGGGGCATCATAATTTGGATTGTCCTCCTTGATGCTGATGTCCAGTACAGATCCCTGAGGGCCAGTTAAACAGCCTTTGTCGTAATCAGAGTCCAAGGCATCTGGGAATAACTCGTCTTTATATTCACTAACAAGCCGAAGTATACTAAAATTAGGCTAGATTTTATTGGCAAATCAAACGATACAATCTGTAATGAAGTAATATAAGAAACAACCAAAAACACCTAATAACCAAGATAACATTTATTGGCTTAAGTGTCTCTTGCACTGGAGTAAACAAACCGAACAATTTGTACATTTCAAGGTCATTTAATCTATGGAGCTATACGCACAACGCCAGGTTATCGTGACTCTAACTTTATGATGTTGAAAGCTCTTGATTTGTTCATCACACAAGGAACTGAAATGAAATTACTTCTCTTCCAATGTGGCATCTGCACTGTCAAAGTCCTCTTTGCTCATGTCTGCCTCGTTGTTAGCAATATATCCTGCCTTTTGTTTGGATAATATCGAGTTACTGGCTTTCATCAGAAATGCATCCATGCGACCTTGACTCTTAAGAGTGGCATCATTCTTGTTCTTTCTGCCTAGACACTTGTCGAAGTGGTCTGTAATTATTTAAGTATTTAGTTTAGATATCACGAATTTCCATGCTCTGAGCATCCCTCTCTCGGTTTCCAGCCGCTTTTAACCTTTCAGTATTAAAAAAAGTCGTCTGGTTGACGTTTTTCAATAAGTGCTCCCATTGTAATTCTTTGATGACGAGTATTCGTCTCTTATCTCTCTAAGTTAGGCTACTTTTCGTCAATTCTGGATGAGTAATTTCATAAATTTTATAAAAATTAACGCTAAAAAGTCACGTTTCGACCTCTATGAGGTCATTTTCAAGTGTGAATAAAAATACAAAATATATGTTGAAATAGTTAAAGGACTTAACAGGCAAGACTCACGAACGCTAATTTATCATAAGTCTGATAAAATATGTAAAAATAAGTGATCATTACTTACTCGCTTTGAAGTAGCTGACTTTTCCATTAAATGTCCTGTCTGTGTGACAACAAGCATAGCTTTTTGAACATATGCCACACTTGATTTGCACTTCGCTTAGTGCAACACTGCCGCTCAAATCCTTCAGAGCTGAAAAAAAAATCCGATTCTTCAGTTTCTTTTGAATTGTCCCAAGGTTTTGCCCTGCCCCTACAAAGAGAAACCCATAAACTCTATTACTATCATTATCACTTTGGAGGGTAATAATAAAAAAAAACTTGACAGCGAGTGTTTATAACTTGAATGCCAAGCTCTTATTTTCGCACAATGAAGATACCAACGCTAAATGCTAGCCAGCTTTGGTTGATACCAAAGCTGGCTAAAAGTTACAAAATCTTCCCCTATGTGTGTTGTGAAGAATCGTAAAAGACGTGAAAGAAAAAATGGATTAACTTATTTGTAAGTATTGAAAGTAATTGTGCAATTGCAAGACTGACAGTCTGGCATAATTGGTTAAACAGAGTTTGTTTTTCTTCAATCCGCAAAATTTACATGCACTTCGCTATTGGTCATGGAATCAGCATCTAACTTTTTAAGATCTTCTTCCCTACCTGAGAAGATTGAGAATTTACAATTTTTTTGTTGTTTTCTGCCCTTGTAGAATCAGACACTATTTATTACCTATGTAAATGCTATGTGACTGCTCTATGTAAAAAGTAGGTACAGGGTATTAAAATTATATGTTTAAAGTGATGGAGAGGGTGTTATTCAAATTGTGTGTAATTGCTATGACTTTTGCTATATATTTTGATAAAAAATCCTATTTTTTTACTAGTCAAATGGAACCTTTACATAGTGTAGGTAAAAGCTATGTAATACACATTTGAGCAGGCTAGTGTAGAAAATTAAAGATAGCATCTACATAGGTTTGAAATGCCAATTCACATAGTATTTAAATAGGAGCAAGTTGAGGCTTAGACAACTGAAAATTAAACTTATAGCCTTTTAATAGAATTAAAATAGAGTAAACATAGGTTACCAATAGTCTTTTTAAGGTGAGTTAAATACAATTTATATAGCTTTTTACCTATGTAAATGCTATGTGGCTGCTCTATGTAAAAAGTAGGTACAGGGTATTAAAATTCTATGTTTAAAGTGACAGAGGGGGTGTTATTCAAATGGTGTGTACTGCGAAGGATCGTGCATCATACGTATTTAATACCGCAGTTCAAAATATATGAACTTCATATATTCATTGTATCTAATATTGATACATATGAGGCGCCAAAGTGGACAAAAACGCCGTTTAGCAATTTTCGTTCCAATTATATAAATATGTTCTAAACTCAAGATTTTTGTCCTCAGTTTACATATTAGATGCTAACTTAGTGAAATATTCATGCTCTTTTTCGCATTTATTTTCTAAACTCTTCAGTTGCATTCTAATTGCAAAGAAAATGCGTTACAAGTGCGGAAAAAATTATTCTAACTGAAATGTGTTTTAGATGTTCTAATGTTCTTATTAA